TGGGTTACCAGGAAAGAAAGAAAAAAAGAGCGAGCGAGCGAGCATGTGTGGCGGGGGGTGAGGAGGTGGGGTGGCACTTGAGGTCCCTGGGCCTTGGCGGATCTGTTCAGTGTCAGTACAGTCCTTGCTCACCTAGCAGCTGCCAGTCTTACTGCTGCTTGTCCCTGCTAGTCTCACCACTGTACCCGCCATTGTCCCACCACTATTCTTACTGCCACCTTATGCCTGAATCTGATCCTCAAAAGAGAACTGCAAGTCTTGATCTGGTGTGGGGCATGGAGTAAGTTTGACACCCCACTTTAGTCCAACATGTTCTGATCAGCGATGCAAAACACACTCTGATTTAATCCTTCACAGTCTGACCCAGCCCTATAACCTCTTCTAGCTTCGAGTGGCAGAGATTAAAAAAAAAAAAAAGGGAAAAAAAAGAAAAAAGGAACCTGTGTTTGCGAAGGAAAGACCAACTTAAATCTTCAAGCTTGACACATACCTCTCCATGTTACTCATAATAGTCCATGTTATTCATTTTAGGGCAGTGGTTTTCAAACTTTTTTCATTTGTGGACCCCTAATAAATTTCAAATGGAGGTGAGGACCCCTCTGAATTGTAAGTGTGGTTATTCACATACTTTTGACTGATAATAGTCATCTTTTGCAGACCCTTCAGACAGGTTGAAAACCATTGTTTTAGGGTATAGTATTACAGACAACATACCTGTGGGTTCACATCCAAGATGCATGTCCTTCCAGTCTGAACCACTTCAAGGATAGAATCTATTTTGGTGCCATAAAGGTTCCCTTCATATTCTCCATGTTCTAAGTACCTGCCAGCTTTAATATCAACCTCCATTTCAGCTCGTGACACAAACCTGTATGCTTGCCCATCTTTTTCATCATCTCTTGGTTTTCGTGAAGTAACTAAATATCAAATGGTTGACAAATCACAAACTAGATATAGAAAACCACAATACGCAGTACAAACACTTATATTAGATTTACTGTTAAGTTACTGTATATTTGTATAGACTTAAGCTTAAAATCTCTGACTACAACCCCGCCTATTCCATCTGTTTGTATTCTCTAATCCCACATTTTATGCTACTTTATATACCCTGTTATTTGTCTATTTCTTCTTCATCATCAGATCTCATTCATTCCTTATTCCATATTTTTTTTCATTTTTCCCCTTTACCAAACAATAGATAACACTTCAAAAACACTTAAAGGACATGAAAGTCAATAGAACCTACACTCTTACGTACCAAAGTCACTTTTGAAAATGAAATTTTTGCAGTCGCCAACCTTTCCATCCAATCCCTAAATGCTTGCTTCGCTCTAAAATACTCAGGGCCTATCTATATTGTACCCGTAGTGAAGTGAAGGGTTACCTTATGCTCACTTGGGAACTGGAACTAGACTAACCATGGAAGCGCAGAGCAAAATACTTGCATAGTTACCCTGCTGCTTAGGGTAATTTGTCACTTCTCAGCAAGTGAAAAACAAACAAACAAGATATTTTATCATCATTTGCATCTTCATCATTATGGAGAACTGTACATTTCACCATGACGCACCGTATGCTGTTGTGATGTTACTATTCAGATTTGCTTAGCATCAAAGAGCCCTAGTCGCAAATGCAGCCTAAACAATGGTATCAAATCCTACAATAATTAATATGATAAAAAAGCACAGATGGACTATATAATTAAGCTGAATAGTCTGAAATAACAGTTCAAAAGTGAGCAATAACAGACACTGTATCTATGACAGGTCCTATAAATTCTGCAGTCTGCATGAGAGGAAAGGTTGACATGGTACTGCTTTCAAGTGGATCCTATCTCAATGCCAAGCTTCTAAATATGTACATATTCCAAAAGAATCGAGATCAATATTGACAATATTTGAGAATAAGAGTATATCACCTTAACAAAAAAAAAAATCTTTCATGAAAAAATGAATAAAGTTTATTACTTAAAGAAACTGAGTGGCCTCTCTAAAGCTATTCCTTCTTACAAATAGGAATATTTGTTTGGTTCTGTATATATACACACACTTCTATCTATTTATAACCATATATACAAATAATACTGTATACACAGTTGTTATTTATCTTTAGATAAATTACTACGTTAGCTTGGTTAAACAGATTTAAACTTCACATTTTTGGTAGTACGTTGCTTAGCTATAACTTGCTTTTAATAGGAACCACACTATTTATGCCTTGAAGTGCCTAATCAACTGACCAAGAATACTCCAAGTTAAATTATATTAATATTGGCACATATTAACTGTGAGATGTCACAGTTGCAAATAATGTGATTTTAGACAATTACTTACTCTTCATGCTATATATTATCTTTTGCCTATACCAGTTATTAAACTGATTTCCAACCCATGCCCCTATGAAGAGATTATATTGTTATGCTAATATTGCACACTTATATTAGCACAACACAATATTATATAACATAACACAATATTAATAGATATACATATCGATTCTTCAGTGGTCAGGGTGATGGTTTAGAAAGGTTTGCAGAGGGAAATAAAACTGGGACTCCCAGGACAAGCCCTTGCTTTTCCTTGCACTGGGCACAAATTTCCCTGCATTATCTGTAAGTCCTAGCTCTCTTCATCTTGGGCTAGGCAGACATTAAAAAAAAAACACCTGAGGTGGAATCAGTCTAAGTTACATGGTTTTCTGTAAGCAGCGTAGTTTAGATCTGTAGCAGCAAACAGAAAGCACGTTTGGTGGGGGTAGGAAGAATAGAGGCATGCAGGCTGCCTATCTTAAACCAGGTTCCAACATTTTTAAACCAGTCTGTGTGCTGAACTTCTGTTCTGTTACAGGTTTAGACTGGTTTCTGATCACTTATACTGGTAAAAGTGTAATGTCTGTATCTGGCCTTAATACTAGTCCAATTACTTGCCTATGGGAAAAAAGAATAGATTAGACTGATCTAAGAATTATAAATGGTTGGGAAGAACGCATACAGAACTTGTAGGCCAATAGATTTCACAGAACAAAATACTGATAGTTTGATGCATTTCTTTACACTTTTCTTTTAGTTTGTGCAGAATGTGTATATGAACATGTTGAAGAGAGTCAGTCACCAAAAATATGAAAAATTAACACATAACTTCACCTGCCCAGTTTTTTACATGCTTACCACATGAAGTTATGTGAGGGAGGATGCCTCAAAGTCAGAATACTCCAGGGAGGCAACTACACCAGAACAAGTTGGTATAATGCACCAGCTTTTGATGAATGACAAAATATCAGCAGTCAGGAACATAGTTGTGATAATGGGAACATGAACTGGATCAGTGGATGCCATTCTCAAAGATGACTTAGAAATGAGAAAAGTATCGGTAAGACTCCAGTCACTGTTGTGCCCAGTAAGACTCACAACCTCTCAAAAGGCAAAGCAGAAATGATTATTATATTGGTGAACTGCTGTGCTTCCAAGAAGCCACCAAGAACAACCATCATGGAAGGCTGATTTAAGAGCACTGATTTTCCAGGACAATGAATCACCCCACATCTCAGGTTGCAAAGACCAGAGCAACCAAACGGGTTTGAAATGCTTCACCATCCAGTCCATTCATTAGATGTGGCTCACTCCAACTTGCACATGACCACAAGTTAAAGAACTTTGTGGAAAGAGTTTCAGTGGTGATAATAAGGTGGCTAGGAGTTTTTGAATATGCAAGACAGACTTCTACCAGAGAAGCACGGCTGCACCTAGCTGCACTGGACCAACTACACTGTTGTCAAGGAAAATTATATTGAAAAACAGTCCCTCTCTCCCTCCCCCTCCATTTCCTTTCCAGCAGACACACACACAGGGAGACTTTTTTTTTGCCACAGAAAACAGGATGATAAACTGTAATTACCCAAAACAACAGTTATGCAGCTGTATGTATATGCATTTAGGTGCAGAAAGGGAAACAGGAATAGAAACAGGTGACATCCTTCACTGCCTTTGTGCCGCCATAAAAATGAGAGAGGCACAAATGCCAGGCAAACAGACATCCATACCCTTGTTGCACCACAAATAGTGACTGCAACAAAGGTGGTATCAATTTGTGCTGCTTTTAGCAGTGGCTGTCTGTTTATTTTACGGCATGAAAGCATGGGCAGCGCAGAACTGCCTACACTCTCCAGCCGTGCCTGGCAGGCATTCCAGGGTTTTGAGGGACCTAATACTATGCACCCTGGGAAATCCTGGGCAGAATTGGGCCCCAAAAGCTCTGGGAGTTTCTGCCTAGCTTTCCCTACTTACAGAGATGTGAACCCAAGGATTGTTGAAGTGCACCTCAGTAAGCAGGGGAAGTCGGGGTTTCCTCACTCATACACATCCCCCAACAACCCTTGCTTACCAAGGCATACCCTGGAGATTCCAGGGGCACATCTCAGTAATCAGAGAAACCCCAACTTCTCCTGCTTATAAAGGGGCACCCCAGAGATCCTCTGCTTGCCAAGAGACAAGCCAGGCTCAAGGGGCCCAATCCTGTGTGGGAATTCCCATGTTGCACAAACCGAGCCTGTCACACCTTACCAGAACACACACTGCTGGTTGTCCTACCCATTGATGCTATGGGACAAGAGGTGATGTGCATGTCACTCAATGAAGCAGATCAGCTGTGCTGGGACACATCCCAACACAACTGCTCCACTTTGTTAGACAATGTCCGTTTCTACCCTACGATACTGCCATTAGAGACTCTGGGGTTAAATTCACATACTAAATTTCAAAAGAACTTCACCAAATAAATTGGGCATTTGGAAAAAATAGTTCACAGGCAAAATTTCACTAAGTGTTCATTATTATAATCTGAGGAACTTTTAGAATCACTCAGCCATTGATGATGATTGACATTCTAGAAAACACAAGACATACTGGAGTAATACTGCCAAATGTATGTATTGGAAGTCATTTCCTCAGTGTAAGCAGACGAAGTCTTGCTGTTCCAATTCACTGGAAAGACTGATTAGAGAAAATTAAATATACTATCATAAAATTGAACCCTCGTTACTTCCAAACTGAGATACTGGGATAAGGTTCAGATTAGAGTAGGTTTTCTAGATGAGTCATCAGTTTCTGGAAATAGGATCTTATAGTGGGAGTGCTGACAACTTACATGGCACTGTAGTTCCAAACCTAGTAGGATTCAATACTATAAATCTATTTTTCAAGCTTCTTCGACCAACTCCCTGGGCCCCTATCAAGACCAATGTCTTTCTCTGAAAAGGAGGCATTTTGGCTACCTCTTCATAAATCTGGATTTCATGGCGGTCAAATTCTACACAGAAAAAAAAAGAACAAAATACAGTTCAAGTCATTATTATATATATTGAAAACTTCAGCAATTCTGTTTTGTATACTCATATCACCTATTACTTTGGAAAAAAAATTCAAGTCTGGCATTTTGAGCATGATATTCCTGTGTTAACAGGAAACAGGAACACAGCAGATTCCTTCAGTCACAGTAAATTTTTAAAACAGAAATTCTTTAGCAGAGGGGTTTTTTTTTGGGGGGGGGGGGGGAAAGAGATGTTTAGATAATCATCACACCTTGGCAGTACTAATTGCTGTCCTAAAATTTTTAAAGAAATACCCTTTGAGTCTTTATTCGGTCTTCTGATGCATGTCGCAACACCAATACGTTTTCTTTGAGATCATGACTTAAAAATTTCAATGTTATATACCTACAAGTTTCTGAACTACCTGCAAACCAAGACTGCCTATTTTATCTGAGAACCTTCTGCTATAACAGAAATGCTTTAGCATGATACCGGGCACTGCAGGTTAAACTACATTTAAAATGCAGATGCAGAAATTTTACAAAATTCTGGACTACCCATTATAACACTGGAGCTAAAAGTAAAGAAAAAGGGAAAAAGTACCTGCATTTCTGGTTGTGAGGTACATCATCTTTTTCTTTTTTTTACTACCTATTGTCCCACAAAAAGGGCCTGAAAATAAGCAGAGGCAATAGTACTAGAAGCTCTTAAAACATTGTAACTTCTTGTTAAATATCTTTTCATAGTGGCTTATTCAATGTAAATTTTGGAATTACATCTACACTCATATTTTAAAGGATCACTGCAAATTATTTTTTAAAACCAAAAACAAAACATGTACTTCCATGAAGAGACTAAACACCACCATAACATTTTATATAAATTATGTGATTTAATAGGGCACATAAAATTAAATGTTCTGCATTAAGCTACCAGAAAACAAAATTTATAAAAATAATCAAAGAAAATAGTTTTCAGGAATTATTTAAATGCAATTTCAAAAGCAACGTGAAAAATAATAATAAAATGGGTACACCATGGCTGATTTTCCTATCTTTCCTACTTAATTTACCAGCAGGTCGTAAACAAAAACTCAGATATCTATAAAGAGTTAATATACATTTTGATCCTTGATCTTCCAGTCAAGGTCAAGATATAAAGATGCCTGAAATAATTAGGAATCACTTTCTGGACTGAAATCATATATAGACCTTTTTTTAGAAAGTATCTACATAAGAAAAAAAGGAAAGAGCATGATTCACAGAGAACTGTATGTGCATCAAACCTTACCTGAATTATCCCAGTCCCTTCTAACAAATGCCTTCCTCTTCTCTTCCAAGAACTGGCTAGGAATGAGGCCTGCACTTCCTCCTTCTTTGACATGGCTAGCCTAGAAAGAAATTAATAAGCAATAAAATCCTTTCACAAATATTTTAAATCTTAGTCCTGTAAAGCAACGAAGTAGGAAGTTTTCCCTCAGATCTTCATCCTGAAAGATGACTTCCTGAAAATATAACTCCTTTATCACACTATCAAGCTTGGATTTCTTAACGCTGTATATTGATGCAATTGTGATCATCATTTGGAGATGCAAATTCAACATGCAGGAGTAAAATGATTTTCTTCCCAGAAACACAATGGGGTTTTACTTCTGTTGTCCATTTAAGCATCTTAAATTCAAGAAAAAACAAAAACAGAGAAACAGTAAAAGCAAGAGACAACTGCTTCTTGATGAGGAAAGTATATATACTGTTTACCTCTTAATGAAGCATCAGAGGTTTATTAGTTCAGCCATAAAAAAGGACCTTTGCTGAAAATCTATACTCTCTCCAGTGTCCTCAGTATATTTTAGGCTCAAAATATTTAACAAAATCAAACATACTTTATTTAAAATATGGTGCAACTTTTTAGAGGCTCTGCCGTACATGTGCATTTATCCTACATACTTGCTGGAATCGAGATTCCTTATGTTAGACATGATTTTAAGTACAGACTACTGGTTTTATTTCTTTTTTTTTTTTTTTTTTTTTTTTTTTATAATTTCATAAACATGCTTTGTCGTATTTTCCTCATGCCTAACCATCTTGTCAAGTACTAACATCTTTGAACAGTCTGCTGCTTTTATAAGTTAATTACCATATCCAAGTTTCATAAACCAAACCCACTTACTGGTTATGAAGATTTAAAATTCAGATATTCACTACAGAAATCAATTTAAAGGCAAAACATCAAACTGGCAAAAAGTCTAAAATACAAATTGTGAACTTTTGTAGTTCTGGACCCTTGACAGCAGCTAGGTAGGTCTCTTTTGAAAGGAATTTTATAAAATTTGACTGTGTTATATTTACATCTTATTAGTAACTAGATTAAATGAAGTTAAAGTCTTTCTTTTTCCAGTCAAGAAATACTGGATGGTCTGGTCTCTGGCTGAAGAAGTTCAATGTCTACTTTGGTATATCTGCAAGTTAATAATACTTGCAATATACCACATCCTTGCTCCTGAAGTCAGCAATAGAGTGAAATACAGTAACCTTCTAATAGGGGCTTCTGTAAGAAAGCTTAATTTATTTTGTCTGGACTCCTATAAATTGTCACTTGTATGAGCTTGAAAATACAGTACAGGAGATAGAATGCAAGCTGAATATCTAGTCTACTAAAGGAGGTTCAAAGACCTTAATTTCTGCAACTTAACCAACTTGGGTAGCATGAGTTATTTTGCTCATTTTTGTGTACACTTTTACTTCTGTAGCTTATTATAATTTAGCCATTAAAAACGTTTGCTTTGATAGTCTTGTGGCACACTCAAATACTATAAACACTATAGAGTGGTAAGTGAATCATGTCCAACTGGCCACTCCTTATGGAGAAGCAGAAGCAAAAAGTTTATCATTTGAGCTGGAACTATAAATCAAGACCTTCAAAACTGTAGTTCTAACTCTGCTACTGATTTGCAGCATGTTTTGAATAAGTGGATTTCTTCAGCAGAGGTAAAAATCAACTCACCTAACCTTGCAAGGGTGCTGGTGATGATTAACATTTCTATAGGGCTTGAAACTGTACAGTGCTTAGAGCAGTGCTTTCCAACCTTTTTAAATGCCAAAAGGTGATCTCTTACTTAAAAGCAACCCAAGATCTACCATGTGCTGCTGCCACCCCTTTCCCCCGCCCAGCAGATAAGTCTGTGGGGAGGGAAAGTGGGGGGCAGATCGAGGCAGAGATAGAAAAAATTATTTGGGGGCACCCCTGCCCAGCAAGTAAGTCCCACCCAGCCAGGACCCCACTCAACTTACCTCTGCTCCTGCCTCTGCAGCACTGTCCCTCACTGCAGGGGCCCCAATCTAGTCCCCGTCCTTCCCTCCCCTACAAACCAACTTGCTGGGCTGGGGCACGAACATGCATTCACGCAGGCATCCCAGCCTCGGATTGACTCCAAGAGGCTCCAAGATCTACTGGTGGATCGAGATCCACTGGTTGGTGAGCACTGGCGTAGGGGGAACAAGTGCTAAGTGGACTCTCTGTAAAGGTACTGATCACA